AAAAAAAGCTCAAAAAATTCATTTCCCCCAAAAGCTCAGAGAGCACCATGGTCTCCACATAAAGATCTCATTTCATTTCATTTCATTTATTGAATTTATAGGCCGCCCAATCCCAGAGGACTCCCGGCGGCTTACAGAAATGAAAAATATTAAAAAGGATTAAAACAATAAGATACATAGATCTATAATACTACTATTAATAATAATATTCCTCCATGAATTTCATTTTTTATTTATTTTTCTTTGATGTTATCTTTTTTTGAGAGATCGAGGTCAACAAAGTTAGTTCTTTGCTGCTGAAGTTATTATTATGAACCGATTATTATGAAAATGAAAAGTATTATTATTATTATTGCCTTAGCAATTCTCCTGATTTGAAACCAGAGATTTCTATTTGTATAAGTTATGACAATCCCATATAAGGACTTAGTGCTCCTTTCAGATCAGTACCATAGCAATGGAATCCCACATTGTCATCTCTATTCATTATCTGTTTATTGTTCTAAGCTGGTGTACTTTCAATTTTAGTTAAACAAGTTTCTCTTTGGAATTTGGAGCTCCAGAAAGTTGGCAGGCTGATATTTTCCATTTCCCAGGACTCTGAATCTAATTTTTGATTTTTCCTAGAACAGGCCCAGTTGCTATATTGTAATACGATACTGTATATTGTAATATGCTACTATTTTGAAGATATTTTCGGTGGGGGGAACCCACCAGAAGTGATTATGATTTTGAACTTTTGCAGCTCTTTCTCTAGCAGGTGTTCATAGCTGGGGCGTGGGGGGAGAATGAACACAACTTGACATAAAAATATGGATATGGAGCCAGGCACTGACTTAATACTGATTTTGCATTGACTGTAATTGTAATCAATTGTAATCATCTGATGCAGCCTGAAGGCATTCATAATATTTTGGGACCAATTGCAATTGAGAAACATTAGCTGGCTTCAAATCACATATGTTTGTTTGTGACATGTGTAAATGCCATTTATAAATGAATAAATAATCTAAGACTTTTACCAGTTAAAGCAATTAAAGGCAAACAAAACAAAGCATAAAATTAAAAAATCTACAATAAATTTAGATGTTAAATAACAGCCCGAAACCAAAATAAATAATATCACTGGCATTCTAACATTTACAACAAACCCTCTGGAATACCACAATTGTTTAAAATTTCCAGAAGGCTAAAAATAACAGTCAATTTGATTTCTGCTAGGAAGCAATGCTGCAGTGTAGGTGTTGCCATTGAAAAGTTATAGTTTAGTTATAGTTTATTAAACTTGTATGCCGCCCCATTCCCAGGGGGACTCAGGGCGGCTAACAAACTAATAGGGAAGGGGGGGCAATACAAAGAAAACGAACAAGACAAAACAAATACAAAAAACAGATTAAAAAAATTCCTCAACAGTCGCAACAATCCGAGTGGGGCTAGGAGCATTTATGAAGCATCAACTTTACAAAATTAAGAGATCATCAATCTTTTCTCTGGAATGCACAGATTGGGTGTTTCAATTGTATGATTGAAGGTGGTAGTCCAGAAATTTTGCTTTTTAATGACTGGATAATGTAATGTTGTTTTGTAATGTTTATTGCATTTGTATGCCGCCCTATTCCGAGAGACTCAGGGCGGCTAACAAACTAGTAGGGAAGGGGGGCAATACAAAGAAAACGAACAAGACAAAACAAGTACAGAAAGCAGATTTAAAAAAAACTCCTCAACAGCCGCAACAATCCGAGTGGGGCTAGGAGCATTTATGAAGCATCAACTTTACAAAATTAAGAGATCATCAATCTTTTCTCTGGAATGCACAGATTGGGTGTTTCAATTGTATGATTGAAGGTGGTAGTCCAGAAATTTTGCTTTTGAATGACTGGATAGTAATGTAATGTTGTTTTGTAATGTTTATTGCATTTGTATGCCGCCCTATCCCGAGAGACTCAGGGCGGCTAACAAGCAAGGGGGAAGGGAAAT